TGTGTGTGTGTGTGTGTGTGTGTGTGTGTGTGTGTGTGTGTGCAATCAGCCAAGAGTCATAATCATAGATAAAACCCCAAAACCGAAGTATATAAAATCACAGACACTCAAAAGAGCCTAAGGAAAAACCTGGAAAGACTTGAAAGCAGCTTCGACTTTGAATGCATTGCCCTACACTTACTGATACATCAACAGAGGCTCAAGATGTAAAATCAGGTCTGCCCAGTCTCTGATGCTCAAAGTAATACCTACTGCTTCATTTCTATTTCTTGAATCTATTAGAAGTTCTGGCCTACAGCTTACTGAGAAGATGATTCTGGGAAGCATAGTTTCTAGTTTAAGCTATGTAAACAATAGCCAACACTAAAACTGGAAACCACCCAAGTGTCCATCAATGGAAGAATGACTAAATTCTGGCATATTTGTATAGTGAATTCTACCAAGTACTATATAAAAAAATCTTGCTTCAGGCATCAACACAATGAATCTCACCAAGGTAGTATTGAGTAATAGAAATAAGACGCAAAAGAATACAGTGTTATTCTGTTTACATGAAACAGTGTAGGCAAATAAAATCCATGAAAATGGAAGACAATGTAGTGATTACTCTGGTGGAGAATTTGATTAGGGGGTGAAGGGGGGCAATGAGTATTATTCTTTGAAGGACTTCCAGCAATAAAGTGCCAGAGAAATGTTTTTACCTTATCTGAATGATGGCTGTGTGAATTGCTCGTGTAAAAATAAATGGAGTTGTGCATTTAAGATTTGTGCACTTCATTGTAAGTCATATTTCCTTTTTAACATTCATAAACAAAACCAATAGAAAAACATTTGCAACATAAAGGATGACAGAGTCAATATAAATAGTACTTGAACATATCTTACAAATTTACAAAGAGGTGCCAACAATATAAAAGTGAACAAAGAAAGTAGTTTCAAATATTTTGAAATTTATTTTAGCTCAGCAGTCTCCCTTCTTAGTATTTATTTTTCAGATATATTTAGCTCATATGCAGTGATGTGCTATTATTTATAGTAGCAAAATACCAAACCTGAATATGCATCAACTAAAGAGTAGTTAAATAAACTATATTTGTATCCATATAACTGAAAACCTGTTCATAAATTTATTGACTATTTGGGAAATAGTTGTTTGTATCTTTTGGACATCTTTTCATTTACTTATCTTTCTGTAATTGATTTTTTGGAGTTACTTAATGTGGGCACAAATCTTTTGATAGAAACGTGTAATATGAATACTTTTTCATTCTTAATGGTATCTTTTGCAAACAATGTTTGTTAATTTTACCATGAAATACATCATTTTTTCTTTAAGAATTACCCTATTTTATAATGTCAAGAAAGTTTGGATTATTCTCCAGTCACAAAATATCTCGTTTTATTATTTAAAAAAAAAACCACCTCAATTTTGACTTAATATTTAAACCTAACTGATTTTATATTTTGGAATAAGGACAAAAAAATTCTCTCCATGTGCATATCCAAGTGATATGTTTAGAGAAATCACCAAAAGCATCACCTTTGCTAAAGACAGTGTATGTGTGGCTCTTTCTCTGAATTCTTTTTTGTTCCATTGATTTCCTTGTCTATCTTTGTGTCAGTTTTGTTCTAATCACTATAGTTTCATATTAGGTATTTGATTGGACCGGTCAAATCCTCCCCAATTGTTCTTCAGAATTGACCTTACTATTCTTGGCTTTTTGCATTTCCATTTGAATTTTAAGAATCAAATTGAGGAGCTGGAGAGATGATTCAGCTGTTAAGAGGCTGCCCTTTCAAAGGACTTGGGTTTGGTTCCTAGCACTCACATGGTGGCTAACAGTCAACTGTAACTCCAGTTCTAGGGGATCCAGTGCTCTCTTCTGGCCTCTTTGACCATTGCATGAAACAGGTGCCTTTACAGACATGGAGGCAAAGCACATTAAAAAAAAAAAAAGAATCAAATTTTCATTTTCTAGACTCACAAAACCTGCTGAGACTTTGTGCTATAGACACAAAGGGACTATTGACACTTTGTTATATGAGCCTTCCAAATCCTGAGTGTGGCCTGCCTCCATTTATTCAGATCTTTAATTTCCTCTTTCTTTCACTAGCATTTGATAATCTCAATGCTAAGATTGTGAACATCTTGTGTTACATTTATTTTTTATGTTATTAGAACTGGTATTTTAAGTCCCCTTTTCTATTTATTTATTGCTTATGTTTAAATGCACTGTTTTATGAGCTGATTTTTATATTTAGGCATTATTAAATGCATGTTCACATTTAACCTTGTATTTGCCTCATTTCTCTGACTACATTGGTATCATTTCAGAGCTCCTTTCTACGTATAAATGAAAACTATGATGTCATGTCACTGAGGCCATAAATATTTTCCACTGATTATTTTTGTCACAATATTTGATTCTGATATTCAGAGTCTTTTTTCTTGTCTTTTGTGTTTCTGTAGAGTTTAGACTCATTCCTATCCAGGTGGTGCTTTCTCTTTGATTTCTTTCCCTTTATCCTTCTGAGGTCAACCTAGCAAAAATAATAGGGTCTAGCACCTTAATATGATACTGCCCTAAATAATTTTTATCATCTGGAAGGCTTAATTTATATAGGAAAGACTCAAACAAGATTATTTCCATCTCTGATATTATTTGATTCTATGTAGATTGTCGTTCTATTGCCATAATCAAAAAACAAGTTTCAGGCCTTGGACTATAGATTAATTGGTAGAGTGCTTGCTTAACATTCACAAAGCCCTGAGTTCAATCCACAGTACCACATAAACTAGAAGTGATAACACATTCCTGAAATCCCAGCACTCAGCACTTTGGAGATGGAAGTAGGAGGATCAGAAGTTCAAGGTCATCCTTGGCTAAATAGGGAGGAGCAGGACAACCTGAGCTATGAGAGACCTTATCTCAAAAAAAAAATTATGTGAAATGTGTTAGAAAACCAAAGTTAGTAACTGGGGGATCAATGAGCATAAATAAATTGGTGCATTGCATTGAGGTGCTGTTTCATTTGTTCAGGGAATGCCATCCAAAGGTTCAAGGCAAGGGAATCTGGAGACATAATTAGATTCTCAAGGCATCTGTGCCTCTATTTGTTAACTTGACCTGAAACTTCTATTTTAAATTCAGTATTTAACTAAGGTAGGTCAGGAAAGGCAATATTCCCCAAAAGAATAACTACAGATTAATCATTAATGCCATGGACAGAAATAAAGTTGGACTGTTCTTTGGGTAAAGGTTGGTGGGAGAGAGAAAGAAAGAGAGCAAATGAAGACTATAGTGAAGCTGAGAAACCTTGGTCAAAGTCTGAGTTAAAGTTTAGGGAGAAAAAGCCTTGTTTGTTGAAAAGTCATTCAAATAGGTAATGTAGGAAGTTTACAACAAATAGAGTCACAGAGTCCTCTCTTTTTTATTAATTTTTTAGTAAGCATGGAAAATATGGGTTTCTTTTGCACCCTCCCTCCTCCATCTTCCTCCCTTGTTCTGTCCCTCCCTCAGCCTTCTCTCTTATATTCTCTCTCTCTCTCTCTCTCTCTCTCTCTCTCTCTCTCTCTCTTTTACTTGTATTCTCAAATAAAATAACTTATTCAGATAAGGCCTGACCTAGTGGTTTGGTTCTCATGGACTTATGGTTTAGCAAATTTCTTTTACAACCCTTGCCAGTGCCTTCTCCTTCTCTTTTGGCTTAGAGCTAGAAGGGTCTTAAGTTCTTTCTGAATTAGCAAAAATAATACAAGTGGGGTAAGAGAAGGCAGTGGGAGGAGAATATGGTCCAAGTATATCATATGCATATATGAAAATGCCATAATGAAAGCTATTATTTTATATAATTAATATATGCTGCTAAAATTGAAAAAATGCATAGTATAAAATATTTATGTTCATTCTAGTTCCTCTTCTGATACAGAGTAAATACAATATTTTAGAGTCATAACAAAATTCATCCACTAAAAGTTAAGGAAAATAGGGGCTGGAGAGATGGCTCAGCAGTTAAAAATACTGTTTTTGCAGAAGACCCGGGTTCAAATCCCATCACCCACATGGCGGCTAACAACTGTCTGTAACTCCAGTTCCAGGGGATCTAACAGCCTTTTCTGTCCTTGGTGGGCATTGCACGACACGGGTGCACTTACTTACATGCAGGCATAACAATCATACACATAAAATAAAAATACCAAAAAAAGTTAAGGAAAATAATGTTTGCAACAACACCTAGAAAGTAACTGGTTCACATTTTTTTTATGAATTAAGTTTTATTTTTAATGAAAGGGGATTATTATGAAAGTGAGAAAATGAAAATACAAGAAATGGATTAGAAAAAGACATAACCAATACTTTCTTTAGCCCATTTTTTTTTGAACTTTTTGAGACAGGGTCTCCCTGTAGCCCCAGCTGGCCTGGAACTCACTATGTAGACCAGGCTGGCCTTGACCTCACCGAGATCTGCCTGCCTCTGCCTCCCAGAGTGTTGGGATTAAAGGCGTGTGCCCATCTTTTAAAATCGTTCATAGGATTTTTCTAGCTGAACATTGTGATACTGAAATTTAGTTGTGTATTTCCTTGCATTCCTACATTTCCGTCTGTATCGCTTCCATTCCTTTGTAATGGGATGTGTACCTCTACTCTTCCTATCTGTTATTGCATAGCAAAAATTCTGGATCTGCCACATACTGGGCTTTTCGGTGTTTTGTAACTTCTTGGAACAATAGTTTCTGTAAAATAAGGATAGTAAAAGTCCAAATAAATAAATTTATAGGTTAAATACACACATAATGTACATATAATTCATGTATATTAAAACTGTACATAATGGTGTCCAATAAATGGCAGACATTATTATCCTGAAATCAGTTTTCTAATGTGTTCAAAATGTTTATTTTTTTTTCTTTGTTTGTTTTGTTTTTTGCATTGCTAAAGCTCAGATTCAAGGCCTCATGCATGCTAGGCATAATGTTCTACCACATCCCTGGCCAAGATGCTCCATTCTTAACTCATTCTTGTACTCATTCACAAAAATAATTTTTCTTAAACAGTTAACCATATCAATTCACTAGCATTGTTTTGGGTTCATCTTGTGACTTATCTGTTTTTCTTACTTCCCCATGCCTTACCTTTTACATAATCATTCTTTTGAACTAGTACACTAACCCTTTCTTTTCCTATAGCTTCCAGCTATGCCCTGAGTCAGGCAGCTACAGAAACTGACACCCACAGGGTTAAGTTGCTGTAGTTCTCCCTCCTCCCCCCAGTCCCCCTTTTCACTGTAGGCTGGCAGCTGTCCTAACTGCCTACTGAAGCCAAATGCTTGAGGAGAGAGAGAGAGAAAGGAGCCAGCCATGAATCCTTTCCAGAAGAATGAGTCCAAGGAAACTCTTTTTTTACCTGTCTCCACTGAAGACGTACTGCCTAGACCTCCAAGCCCTCCAAAGAAGCCATCTCCGGTGAGTCTCCAAATTCAGTTTGTCTCTGACTTTAATAGTCTTATTCTTTTGGCTTTCCTCCTTGGTTTCTGAAACTTCATGCTGGGCTGTATTAGGGCATAAAAAGTGTTCTCTCTTGGAATGAGAATTCACCTGAAAATTAATTCTAAGTTTATTTTATTTAGGAAAGGAAGCAATGAGATGAGGCAGTCAGAGATTTTCAGTTGGGCCCCAGAGCTTTGCTGTATTTCATTGCATTTTCTGAGTTTCCCCGGGGAAGAGGGGTGGTCGGGGGGAGAAAAAGCAATCTGAATGTCCAGGGAAACTTGGCAAGCATTACTGTCTAGAGAACTGTGTGTGATTGTTCTTTACCACTACATAAACTCAGCCTCTAGTTCCCCCTGTACACGCAGAGCCTTCTTTTTCAAATTTTGGAATAGACCCATTCTCTGTTACTAAGTGTTCCCACTTTAAAGTGGGAGATAGGATAGAGAAACAAAGAATAATACTTTGCATTGTGTACCTGATAAGACACTTCCAAATTTATTATATCAGTCACTTCTCATATAATAGCAAAATCATTTAAGTAGAGAGGCTATTAATAATAGCCAACCCCTGCTGAGTTCTTGCTGTCAGTCAGGAGATAGTTTTGTTGGAATAACAGAACTGAAACACAGAGGCAGGGGTAGTGATATAGCTAAGGTGATTATGTTAGTCCAATCAGTGACCGTGAACATAGTTACTGGCTAATGACAGTACATTAAATAGAGTCCATGTTACATAGTTCTCAAGCTGTGAGTTGGAAAGTTAATAAGTTCGGTTCATTGTGTCTTTTATACATGCACTAGTATGTATCTATAAAAATGGTTTGTATATACGTATGTGGGTAAAAGAAAGAATATATTAATTTATTGTACCTAGTTGATTAATTATATCTTTTTTTTTTGGTCTTTTTGATGCAGGGTCTCCCTGTACCCCCAGCTGGCCTGGAATTCACTATGTAGACCAGGCTGACCTTGAACCCACAAGATCTGCCTGCCTCTGCTTCCTGAGTGCTGGGATTAGAGGTGTGTGCCACCATGCCTGGCGTGATTAATTATATCTTTTAAGGTGCTTATTAAAAGGCTCATTCCCATGAAATAAGAGGCAATATAAATCTTATGTTAATATTTGAATGTCTCAGGAGACAGATGATCTCTATCCCCACTTCTGTGTTAGTTGAGCTATTGTAATGCGGAGAGATAGGAAATAAAACATGACATTGCTTATATTCTTGGTTATATAGTGCATGAAATATAGTCATTCTAATTGTCAGGATTAAAGTAAAAATGTTGGGGCTGGAGAGATTGCAATTAAGACACGAGCAGTCAGTCTCTGTAGTGGTGCTAAGTGGGATCAGTGACATGTCTCTGACTGGCTGGATATCAGGTGCTACAAAGGCCCAAAGGCCATCTCTTCATTCTGTTCCTAGCAATAAGTATCGTCAGTCTCCTGCCTAGAGCTATAGGCTTATATTTAGATATTGTGAGAAGATGAGTAGGTCTGAGCAGTTTTATGTTAAATAAAGAACAAAGTAAGATTTGGATTTGCTTCTTTTACTGCCACATCAGCAACATAAGCACTTTTAGTGTGACAGCAGCTGTTTTATGAAGAGACCATTGCCCCATATTAACCAAATACAGCGACTAAAAAGAAATTAATTTGCCAGGTGTGGTGGTGCATGCCTTTAATACCAGCACTTGGAAGGCAGAGGCAGGTGGATCTCTGTGAATTCGAGGCCAGCCTGGTCTACGTAGTGAATTTGAAGCCAGCTGGGTCTACAGGAAGACCCTGTCTCAAAAAGACCAAAAAAAAATTAACTAACTTAGCCAGGCACAGTGCTGTACACCTATAAACTGAGCTCCTTTCGAGTTTGAGACAGGAAGATCATAAAATGGAGCTCGACCTTGATAACACAACCTCATATCATTTACAGAGTAACCTAGTAACTGAAATGGGAAAATGCTCATTTTTGAACAACTGCCTTTTTCTTTCATAGAAAATCTGTGGCTCCAGCTATCCACTGAGCATTGCCTTCATTGTGGTGAATGAATTCTGTGAGCGGTTTTCCTATTATGGCATGAAAGGTAAGGTCCTCTTCACCTCATGTTTGTGGCAGCCTGGTCTTACATACTTGTTTCCCTTGCCCATTTTCTCTGCCTTGATCCTTTTCTCTGGCCATGATAGCAAATGCCTCATCAGATTTCATTTAATAACTCATGTCAGTCAAGATCAGAAAGGCCTGGAGAACCAACACATAACTAGTAAAGATGCAAGTGGAAAAGCTCTTATCATGTAGATTTCATTTTTTATGCCTGTTCTTCAGCCTTTGAACTATGTTGTTGCTGGGAAAGAGAAAAGGAAAGGATGTTGGAAGCACCATGTTATTCCTTGATGGCCTAATTCCTTGATGCTATAGGTGCACAGAGATAGAGGGGGTGAGAATTGGATGTATGTATTGAGCCTACCTCCATTTGTTCTCATAATTCCCACAGGTCCTGCTTCTACCAGTGATGACTCAGTTGCTTCACTCATAGGAGTGCTAAAGGCCAGGATCACCTTTAAAATGCTTTATTTATTATTATTATTATTTTTGAGACAGGGTCTCCTTGTACCCCCCACTGACCTGGAACTCACAGAGATCCACCTGCCTCTGTCACCTGAGCGCTGGGATTAAAGGCATGTGCCTCCATCCCCAGCTATTTATTTATTATTATTTTTTTATGTGTATGAGTGTATTGCCCACATGCTTGTAAGTGCACCCATGTTGTGCAATGCCCATGGAAGTCAGAAGAGGGTGTTGAATCTCCTGAAACTGGAGTTACTGATGATTGTTAGCCACCATGTGGGTGCTGTGACTGAGCCTGGGTCCTCTGCAAGAGAAGCCAGTGCTCTTAACTGCTGAGCCATTTCTCTAGCCCCAAGGATTACCTTTAAAGGTCAGAAATCAAATATATTTCTCTGTAAGTCATTTTATTGCATTTGTCAATTTATCTTTTGTTTTGTTTTGTCTCAGCTGTGCTGACCTTGTATTTCCTGTATTTCCTGCACTGGAATGAAGACACCTCCACATCTGTGTACCATGCTTTCAGCAGTCTCTGTTATTTCACTCCCATCCTGGGAGCAGCCATTGCCGATTCATGGTTGGGAAAATTCAAGTAAGAACATTAATGGGTCACAGCCCCAAGGCTTCAGAGAATCACTATCTAGGAGGTTATCACTTCCAAACTTTTATCTCCTACCAAAGGCAAACTCATGGGTATGACAGAGAAATATCTCTCCAACACAGACAATGGGAAATCTATTTCTTTCCATGTCAGCTTTTTCCCCAATGTTTTTATATCCTTTCAGTCAAGAGTTCCCTTAAAAATCTAATTTTAGGGGCTGGAGAGATGGCTCAGCAGTTAAGAGCACTGACTGCTCTTGTGGAGGACCCTGGTTCGATTCCCAGCACCCACATGGCAGCTGCAAACTGTCCTTAACTCCAGTTCCAAGGGAATCCAAAGCCCTCGGGTGCACTCACATACATGCAGGCAATACACTCATACACATAAAATAAAAATAATAATAAATAAAAATTTTTAAAAATCTAATTTTAGTCTTCCATTCTATGGTTTAAGACCAAATCTTATTTTTATCTCAGTGAAGATACCAGCAAATTTATACTTGTAAAAGCTTTAGCATGGTTATTCAGCACTTTCTTTGCCATCTCCAATTTGGTCATCCAGCCTCCTGCAGTGTCTCATATAATTATGAGTCTTTCTTTTCTGCTCTTTTATCAGTTTTGTTTATCTTCTTAACCTCGTTCTGTAGTTTCCTTCTTAAGAATCTAATAAAGATTTTCATATGTTAAAATAAAGTCCATTAGTTCTTTTAAGTTCCTGAAAAGAGAGCCAATAGTCATGGTATAATGTTATAGTCATTCTCTATAACACTATCCTCATAGGCTAGAGATGGGCCTCATTTTTTTTTTTTTTTTTTTTTTTTTTTTTTTTCGAGAAAACATCTCCCTTTAGTCCCAACTGCCCTGGAACTCACTAGTTAGACCAGGCTGGCCTCCAACTCACAGAAATCTGCCTGCCTCTGCCTCCCAAGTACTGGGATTAAAGATGTGTGCCACCATGCCCAGCTTAGAGATGGGCTTTTGATGGCCAGTATCTAGTAATAGTCTATTGATTTGCTATCTGTAGATTTGTCTGAGCCAACATTTCTCAAAATACATTCTGTTTAGAACTTGGTTGTGTAGGCTATAATGAATTATGGGGAGAATAAAATTTTTATAGTCAAATAAGTTTAGAAAAATTCTATGCTGTTATGGAAACATTTAAAAATGACCCCCCCCCCAAAAAGAATGTGTTCATTAAAAATAGCTTAAAGATAAGAAAAAAAAACTTTAAATAAAATTTCCTTATTCAAACATCACAACAAAATGTTTCCTTACTGCATGATTTCATATAGTCTCTAACAAGTTAATATGCACTGTAAAATCTCTGAGAGAAAGTTAGAAAAGTTAGAAATGTGCAATGTTTCCTAGAGTACATTTTTCTCGGGAATTTTCTGGACCTAGTGTTTGAAAGAATTTGTCTTAGTTTCATTTCTGAAAAAAAAAAAAGCAACATGGGGAGAAAGGGTATTTGGCTTACAGTTCTAAGTCATGGTCCATCATGGTCCATCATTTATTTGACAACATCAAGGCAGGAACTCATGCAACAAGTCATACCACATCCAGAATCAGGAGTAAAGAGGAAATAAACACTTCTCTGCTTGCTTGCTTGCTTCCTTGATCACAGCTAGCTTTCTCCTCTTCTATAGTTCAGGACCTGCTTAGAGATGGTACTACCCACAATAGACTGAATCTTTCTACATCAATTAACAATCAAGGCAATGCCCTGTAGACAGGCCTACAGGCCAACTTGAGCTAGACAATTCCTTTCTACCCACCACTTGAGCCACCCACAATAGACTGAGTCTTTCTACATCAATTAACAATCAAGGCAATGCCCTGTAGACAGGCCTACAGGCTGACTTGAGCTAGACAATTTTCTTTCCACCCACCACTCAGGAGGCAGATCTGTGAATTCAAGTCCAGCCTGGTCTATGTAGTGAATTCCAGGCCAGTCAGGGCAATTTGGTTAGATCCTGTCTCAAGAAAAAAAAAAAAAAAAAAAAAAGGATTCTTTTTCCAGGTGATTATAGCTTATATCAAGTTGACAGTTAAAACTAATGGGAAAAAAATCCAACTGTAAACACTGATTTATACTAATTTGGCATATATGTATACATATATGAATATATAGATATATCCTTTTTAAAATATTTTATTTATTATTTTTATTTTATGTGTATGACTGTATTAGCTGCATATGTGTACATGTATCCATGTCAAATACTAGGAAGAGGGCTTTGGATTCCCCTGGAACTGGAGTTAAGGACGGTTCGTAGCCACCATGTGGGTGCTGGGAATTGAACCCAGGTTCTCTGCAAGAGCAGTCAGTGTTCTTAATCACGGAGCCATCTCTCCAGCCCCAGATATATCCTCCTAACTTCAGTGAGGCATGATGGGTAGATGGCTTCATTTGTTACCCATGTAGTAGTAATCACCAAGTTCATTTGGATAGGGATTGGAACTATTTGAAGAATAAAAGCGTAAGCTATGTTCTGTTCATTCAGTTATAGAATAAAGGCTGACACTGCAATTATATTTTTAAAATAACTTCCTTTAAGATTGAAGAAGTACAATTTCACGATTTGATAAACAATAGCTTCTGGAATGTTTTAGAGGCAATTTAATCCTCCTCCTTGCAGTCTTAACTCAATCCTGATTGAGGATTTAAAAAAACTAAACTTACTTTTATTGAGGTATAACTTACATTAAGTACAGAAATCCAAAACCCTTAAGTGTACAACTTGAATTTTTACATCTGTATCATCATTACCTGAACTATTCTCTCTACAGCCCTCAAATTCTCCCTCAGAGCCAGAACCTTTTTCCTGTAATAGAATCAGGTACAAGTCTCTAGTATCTCTAAATAAACATTTTCTTGAATTTTTCCCCTATCTTTTTTCTCCTTAACCATTATCCTCCAATTTAAAAAAGAACCATCTGTCTGGACATGGTGGTGTATACCTTTAATCCCAGCACTTGTGAGGCAGAGGCAGGCGGATCCCTGTGAGTCTGAGGCTAGCCTGGTCTACATAGTGAATTCCAGGCCACTTGGCATCTGTCCCTGAGTCCTCTTATTTCTAGAAATAAAAGAAATTTCTTGAAAAAAGTCTTAAGGTGTCCTGTTCTATGGATTTTACTAATTTAACACCTCACCGTGCTTGCTGCAAATCTACCCTATTTCTTGTTATATCTGTACAAAAGTGGAGTGCTCCTGTACGTGGAGCAGAGCAGAGTGTAGACCTGAGAAGAGAACTTGCAGGAAATGTCTGTGGCTGCCAAGAAAATGCTACAGGTGAAGAAGCTGTTTACCTCTCGCCATTGTTTCTATTCCTGTTTCCCAGTTAATTCTTTCCTCCTCCACTCCCTTCTCTTCCTTCTCTGTGTACCAAGAACATTGTGAACCATGAATGTGTATTACTCAAGTATCTGAATAGTACACAGGCTGACTGATTTTTATTCTCACCACAGGACAATCATCTATCTCTCCCTGGTGTATGTGCTTGGCCATGTATTCAAGTCTTTGGGTGCCATACCAATACTTGGGGGGAAAATGCTACATACGTGAGTAAAATCATGGAACCAACTGAACCATTTGTCTTAGATGGGTGTATGTCTCAGGAATTTGTTACAGATGACTTTCTATTTTATTACCAGAAATGGTCCCTTACTTTCCAGTTTACAGTTCTATTACCAAGTAAGTTAAGATTAAAAACTTTATGAGCAATTGAACCCTTTCCTACATTTTTTGAGATCTTTTTTTAAAAGTGTTTGAAGACTTGTGGAATGCTTACTATCCTTTTCATAAAAACTCTTCATTTTCTTGAAAAGAAATAAAACCTTGTGTGTTCTCTCACCTATTCACCCAGCCATGCACCTGTACTCCATCAGGAATTTTAAAATGTATTCATTTATATGGTGGTACACTCCTTTAATCCCAGCACTTGGGAGGCAGAGGCAGGTCGATCTTTGTGAGTTTGAGGCCAGCCTGGTCTACATAGTGAGTACCAGGACAGCTGGGGCTACAAGGAGACCCTGTCTCAAAAAGACAAAAAGACAAAAAGACAAAAAAAAGTCATTTTCAAAGCTTGAGATATTTCAATTTATGTTTAATTCCATATATTCCCATTTCACTATCCCTCTTTATTTCAGGTATTAGTGTTTATAGAACCAGAGACATTTGATGGATTTGGTTCAGTTACTAGACAGGATTATAGTTGTTCAAGAAGCAGTTTATCTTGTTTATGTTATAATGTGCACATATTAGATACCTCCTTATTGCTGCTCCATAAAAATCATTGATATCGTTCTCATTTATTATGATGAATTTTTTTCTGGTCTTTTTGAGATAGGATCTCCCTGTAGCACCAGCTGGCCTGGAACTCACTATGTAGACCGGGCTGGCCTTGAACTCCCAGAGATCTGCCTGCCTCTGCCTCCTGAGTGCTGGGATTAAAGCCATGTGCCACCATGCCTGACTATGATGAATTTTAACATTTTTATTTTGTGATTAGTAAGGGTATTTAGATTAGAGTCCATGAGATCTTCCACTTGAAGTACTAAAATAAGATTAAGAACTGGTGAGTGTGCCACCTTGGAGCCCCTTCAGTGTCTGTGTCTACTTGTTGCATGCAAAGGGTAAATGGAACTACCAGGCACAGACTCTTCCTATGCAATGCATTTTCTAGAAGAGGCTCAAACATTGTAAAGATGATAAGTGCTCATGAGTATTTCTTGGATTCAAGTGTCTACAAGGTATAAATGTACATCTTGGCTTTGAATGCTTTTTTTCTTACCTGCATTTTTATAGTCTGTTTTTACAGTTGGCTCGGTAGCAACATAGCTAGCATCCTTACCTCTCCATTTCAGAATCCTATCATTGGTTGGACTGAGTCTAATAGCTCTCGGGACAGGGGGCATCAAACCCTGCGTGGCAGCTTTTGGTGGAGACCAATTTGAAGAAGAACATGTAAGAATCTTGTTATTTCTGTATTTTTCAAGAATGTACAGTCAGCATCAAAAGGGGTACTTGTCAGGTAGCCATCTGCTAAGACTGAAGTAATTCCACTGATCAAATCCCACCTGAGAAATGGGGTTCAGTGATGGATACTGGCCAATAGCAGAGAGAAAAACTAAAGTACCTTTAAAGGAAAGTAACCAGGGTGATAGGCAAACATGTCATATGAGGAAAGGTTGAAGAAGATAATAGATGGAATAAGACAAGAAGCAAGGGAGCTGAGCCCTGGTTTAGTGGGAGAGTACTTTTGTAGCATGCACAAAGCCCTGGGTTTGATCCTAAGCTGGGTGTGCTATCTCCTGTCTGTAATCCCAATATTTAGGAGGTAGAGGCAGAGCATCAGAAGTTCAAGTTCATCCTCAGCTAGATATTGATTTCAAGGTCAGTCCAGGATATGTGAGACCCTGTCTCAAAAAAGAAAAGAATAGCTTTTTATAAATTTGGGGGGATAGGGCTGGAGAGATAGTTCAGTGGTTAAGAGCACTGGCTGCTCTTGCAGAGGACCTGGGTTCAATTCACAATACCCACGTGGTATCTTAACAACCATCCTTAACTCTGGTTTCAGGGGCTCTGATTCCCTCTTCTGGCCCCTATGGGCATTGCACAACAGGGTGCACTTACATACATGCAGGCAATACACTCATACACATAAAATAAAAAAATAATAAAAAATATTTTTAGAAATTAGGGGGATGACAATGTTGAAATGTGAGAGCAATAAGTGAAAGCAACAGAAAGTCAACTGCCTGCTTAGTGGAGGGAAAAACTTCAAAGACAGTTGGAGATAGTGAGCTTACTTTCACTTGAGATATTCAGTGTGCTGCTAGCCATAGTGGTGCATGCCTTCAATTCCAGCACTCGGCAGGCAGATGTCTGTGAATTCAAGGTCAGCCTGGTATACATAGCAAGTTCCAGGCCAGCCAGGATGACATAGAGAGACTGTCTAAAAAGAAATGAGGTGAGCACTTGGGGAATGGGAGGTGTGATATAGAGATGTTTTGTGAAAGGGGAAAGTGATCACTTGAAATGGAATGGAATGAGTTTTTATAGATGGATTTCCCTGGATGATCATCCTCTCATTTCCTAACACGTTCCTTTGTCAATGGGGAAATTAAAAAGGTATGACCAAGGCAAAAATGCAAGCATTTGAGGATGCAATAACAAATGGGCAATCTATTCTTAGATTAGTTCTGGTTTCTTCTCTTTTGTTTTTTGTTTTTTTTTCCTGACTTCTTTTTCCTGGTTCTGTTTTCTCTTTCTCTCTTCCCTCCCTAATCTTTGTGTGCCTCCCACATCCATCTCTGTGCTGTGTGACCCCTCAGTCCTCTGTAGACATGAACAAGTGCCGGTTTACTCCAGATAGAGAACCAACAACAAACCAAAGCTATCATACAAGAACATCCTTACTTTGTCTCTAAAGTCTGACTTGGTGAACCAGAGTTTTATTGTCTCAAAGACAGCTGCATCACCAAGAGCCCACCCAAACACAGGTGACACCTTCTGAAAGCTGGAAACCTGGAGCTCTCTGTACAATTTACAAGCAGCTCAACAGGGTGGAGAGTGTCTCTTTCAGGCAGCTCAGGTGGTCTGGGCCTCTTCCAGGTTCCTCTGCTGGTATGAACCTCTTTTAGGCAGCTCAGATTATGTAAAGTGTCTCTCAGCAGTCCTTATGGCTTATATAAGGTTGGGGAGGGAGAGGTTTGGAGTGTCTGGTCAGTTTCAGGGACTTCTTGAGGTATGGGCCTCTTCCAGGTTCCTCTGCTGGTATGAGCCTCTTTTAGGCAGCTCAGCTTATGTGAAGTGTCTCTCAGCAGTCCTTATGGCTTATATAAGGTTGGGGAGGGAGAGGTTTGGAGTGTCTGGTCAGTTTCAGGGACTTCTTGAAGCCTTTGAGTTATTTACTTTCTTAGCTTAAAGATCTTCAGTACAGGATGGAATGTTTCACGTCTCTTTAGAACATGCTGTGTCTTTTACTTTTCAAATTATTTTTATTTTTATTTTATGTGTATGAGTGTATTGCCTGCATGTAGGTAAGTGCAACTGTATCATGCAATGCCTGCAGAGGACAGAAGAGGCCATCGGATCTCCTGGAACTGGAGTTATAGATGGTTGTTAGCTGCCATGTAGGTGCCAGGATTTGAACCCAGGTCTTCTGCAAGAACAACCAGTGTTCTTAACCACTGAGCCATCTCTCCAGCCCCAGAATGTGCTGTGTCTTAATGATGTTTTATTTTGGAGGAAATAGCTACCCAATAGTTCCTTGTCCTCTGACACAATGTTTGCTTTCTTTTTCTGCCTCTGTTTTCTCTTTCTGTCTTGTTTTCCTATGCTTCTCTCACTATTAAGACCATTTGGGTTATTTGCTACTCTGTTCAAGGGTCCATGGATAGTCATTACTTGCTGACATTGGAGAAATAACCAACCTTTGGCAAATCAGATTCTATGTACAGTGGACTACACAAATCATAAGTGCAAAATAGGTTTAAATGGGGACGAGAAGAGGAAGCCAAACACATCATAAAATTGAAATGGGAAAGGACTGATTGTGCTACTGTGTGTGTCTAAAAAAGAGCTAAAGTGACAGAATGAAGCACAGTATTACACATCAATTAGAATCATTATTTGAAAGTTATTTTATTTAGTATCTGACCCACAGATATTTTTTGATTAATAGGGCAAATCCACCTCCAAGATTCTGCAAGCCACTTCTAGGCCCACTGACATCCATTTATACTCTCTGAAAGATTTCCCTTAAGTATTAGTTGAACTTTCCCAGTGGGTCACCAGCTTACTGCACTGTACTAGATTCTGATCCTATGCCTACCACACACTCTACAGAGTATATTACTTAACTCAAGCAGTCATTTACTTAACATAAATTTGCTTAATACAGTCAATAAACATTTTTTTTTGGTCTTTTTGAGACAGGGTCTCCCTGTAGCCCCAGCTGTCCTGGAACTCACTATATAGACCAGGCTGGCCTTGAACTCACAGAGATCCACCTGCCTCTGCCTCCTGAGTGCTGGGATTAAAGGTGTGTGCCACCACGCCCGGCTAATAAACATTTTTTGGGGGATAATTAATATATGCTTGCTGTTGTGCCAGGTACTAGACATTATAGAGAAAAGTCTTTTCTGTAAAAGAACTCACAAAATACTGAACAAAACATGTTTAATGCAAAGAAGTTACTATTGTAATAGAGATGCATAGGAAGCAAGAGTGGTATTGAGGACACGTTTGTTGAAGTAAAAGGAATGTACTGGAGTTTAGAAGATGAATAAATGCTTGTCTAGGTCAGTCAGATGCAGTATTAAATAGCTAACGTGTTTGTCAGATGCTATGGAGGGCAATGTCTGACTCTTTTGCTTTGTATGTCCCTCCACTGGAATTTGAACATGGAGTGGGGGGAACTAAGAGACATATTGCACTGATGATTTCTCTTGTTTGTTTCAGGCAGAGGCACGGACTAGATACTTCTCAGTCTTCTATCTTTCCATCAATGCAGGGAGCTTGATTTCTACATTTATCACTCCCATGCTGAGAGGTTAGAATTCTTTCTATGGGACTGGATGTGTAAGGCTTTATTCTGGGCCAGTTGAATATCTGTTCAAAGCTGGCCATGGTCCACTGTCCTAGTTTGTTTCTCCACTGCTGCGACAAAACACTCTGACCACTACCAACTTGGGGAGGAAAGAGTTTATTTGTCTTACATCTCCCTGGTCACAATTCATCAGGAAGCACAAGGTAGGAACTCAGGGCAGGAACCTGGAGGCAGGAGCTGGAGCACAAGGCCATAGAGGAATATTGCATACTAGCTTGTTCCCCTGGCCCCTGCTCAGCCTGCTTTCTTATGCAACACAGGCCCACCTGCCAGGGTGGCACCACCCACAGTGGGCTGGGCCCTCCCACATCACTCAACAATCATCAAGATGCTCCATGGACATGGCCACAGGCCAGTCTATAGAGGAAATTCCCCAATTGAGGCTCCCTCAACTCAGGTGTGTCAAGTTGGCACTAAAGCTATCCAGCACATCTACCTTTTCCTTTTATATGGTTTTATAAATATGTGAGAATTTATTTTTGTCTTGATTTTTCTAGCCTAAAATAAGGGTTATAGATTAGCTGAGGAGAGCAGACGAGGATAGCCATGTCTACACCTAGAATAGCTTATAGACTGAAATATCAGAGATTTAAGAAGATTTATTCTTCCTCTTCTATTTTCTTCAGGAGATGTGCAATGCTTTGGGGAAGACTGCTACGCACTGGCGTTTGGGGTTCCAGGACTGCTGATGGTAGTAGCACTTGGTGAGCATAGTGGGAAAAGGAAACTATCAATCATTGAGGCCTGCCACACAGAAGGCTTCATGTGGGCACACTAAACAAGCGATTTCATTGAATCCTTACACTAACCCTATGAGGTAAGTGTTGTAGGGTTTTCTTTTGATTTTGGAGATAAATTACGAATGGTGCCAGAAACCATTTTTTAAGTGCTATAGTTAAAGAGCCAAAAAGTTCCCTAGGAGCTTTTGAAAAATAACAATCTCTGCAGCACATCTAGGACTACCCATTAGGATTTGGGGTGTCTAAAATTTGTAAGTATCTCAGGTGAGTCTATTGAATAGTTGAGGTTAGGGTCCATTGCTCTTCACTAAAATAAGAAAGAAGTTAATTCATCTTCTAAAACTAGTTTAATATCACCTGATACTCATTTTTCTGGTAAATAGATGGCACTTTTAATTACCTGGGTCTTTTAATGAAGCTTTCAAATTTAGCTATTTTTGCTCTGCTCTGAAAGGCAAAAACAAGAGTTTCCCTTAAACAAAGTGAATAAGAAGAGTTGGATAAGTAGTTAGAAAATAATGCAACTTAGATCAAGTGGCATTCTCTTTAGCACTAAGAACCCTGTCCTAGGAGAGAAGTGGGATGTGTGGGCCTGTTGGTTTAGGCAAGTTCCCTAAGGGGAAGCTTGGGCGTGATTGTTTCTAATCATTGACCTGGAAACCTGTTCTCACTCTGAGCCTCAGGGTGACACCCCTCTGGAACATATCCAGTCCAAACACATAATGAGCTCCATAGAGGAAAAGGAGTGCAGAGACTTGATGTTTGGTCTAATTATTTTCCACCAAAGAGGCTGAGAGTAATACAGATCCAAATTCCAAAGAAATTTATTCTGGGAGAGCTATGAGCTCCCTGAAATACTCCTTCTCCCCTCAATGCCAAACATTTTTACCAAGTATTTTCTTGGTCTTTCCATTGAATAGTATTATATCTGTTTCTCTGGCTCACTGCCGGTAATAGTTTGTAGACATTAAAGTAATTATAAAGCTCAAAGAGATGCTGAAAGTAAAATGTTTTACAAATTAAATATGTGGCATCTGTCATTATTAGTCAGCTGCTTAATTTGATGGGTGCTAATATTTATTATGTGACATTTTGTACTAGGTATTACAGTCACATTGATGATTTAGAGGACTACAAATTCATACTCTCAAAGAACTTAAAGAGTACAATAGAAAAGTAAACTAAACAAATGAACAGGAATGTATAATATAGTTCAGTCAATATTCAAATGGGGAAGCATAGGGAGAGCTATGGAGCTTATAGAAGGGCTGTCTGATTAAGACTTGGAGGGTTGTAAGGGTTTGCCTTCAGAGAAGACTTCTAAGATCAGACCTCAAGAATAAACAGCAGTTAATCAATGAAGGACTTGCAAGTGATGAAGAAAGAACATATATTTGGTGTCTATAAGAAGAGAGATAGTATGAATGTTCAAGGGCTTTAAAAGAATTCAAATTATCTGGAGCATAAATAAGAAGGATAAAGAAGATCAATTGCCAGAAACCAGATAACAGAGGGTCATTTAAGCCATTAAGGAACTAGAACTTCATTGTCAGGACAACGTGGAATCTATGAAAAAGATTTTGAACAGGGATATGACTATTAGATTTTTATTTTTCAATTGTGTTTTATTTTACAATGATCTACACTGTGGAGAAGGGATTAAGTTGAGGATTAGGTAAGGTGTATTTGTACTTTTTGTTGGCTATGTTAAAACACCACGATCAAGGCACCTTAAAGAAGGAAGAGTTTAATTTGGCTTTCAGTTCCAGAAATAGACTCCATAATGGCAGGGAAGGCATGGCAGCAGGTGGCCAGAATAGGAAGATGAGAGCTCACATCTTCAAACACAAGCAGGAAGCAGAGAGGGCAAACTGGAAGAGGGGCAAGGCTATGAACTCTTAAAGCCTACCCTCAGTGAGAGACTTCCTCTAGCAAGACCATACCTTCTAACCCTCTGCACAGTGCCACCAACTGGGGACCAAGTGTTCAAATATATGTGGGGAGCATTCTCATTCAAACCATCACATTCCACTCCCTTTCCTCCATAGGTTCATGGCCATCTCATAATCCAAAATGCATTTAGTCCAACTTTAAAAGTGCTCATAGTCTTTAACAGTCTCAACACTGTTCAAAAGTCCAAAGTCTCTTCTGAGACTCAAGGCACTCTCTTAATTGTAACCCCGTGTAAAATCAAAAAGCAAATTACATATTTACAACGTACATTAGCACCACAGAATATAGATTACCATTCCAAAAGGGAGGGATGGGGGCATAGTGAGGAAATACGGGACTAAAGCAAAACTGGAAACCAGTAGAGCAAACACCAAATCCTGTAGCTCTATGCCTGATGTCTGAAACTTTAATTTTGAAGGATTCAGGTGGCCCCATCCCTCCAGCTTTTCTGCCTGCAACATACATATGTCTCTTGGGTTGGTTCCACTTCCTGTGTGCAGCTCTTGTTGGCAGATGTCCCATGGTTCTGACATCTTCAGTATTTTGGGATCTCCACTATAACACAGCCTTCACTTTCTTTTTTTTTCTTTTTTTTATTTTTTGCATATTTTTATTGAATTTTCATGTATATTACATACAATATCTTAATCATTTCATACCCTCTTCCCCACTGGCACCCTCCCACATCCCCCTCCACAGACTTTCATGCATTCTGCCATTTATGTTAAGGCCTGATCAAGTCAAGGTAGTGTCCCCAGATGTCCCTCAGTGCAAGTTCATCCACTGAGGTCTTGTAAGCCTTATTAAGTGAAATACGGGTTATTTGATGACAGTCTACCTGATGTCCAACATGGCTACTGTATAAGTTACTTTTTCTTCTTCTTGCAACAAAAGGCCTGACAAAAGCAACTTGGAAGGAAGGGTTTACTTTGGCTTGCAGTTTGAGGGCTCAGAGGGAAAGTGTGGCAGCAGGAATGGGAGGTCACATTGAGTCCACAATCAGGAAGCAGAGCGACTCGAATGTTGGTGTTCAGCATATTCTGTCCTTTTTTCTTTATTATTCAGATACTCCAGACCACATTCAGGTTAGGTCTTCCCTCTTCAGATACAATTCTGTGGAAACACCTTCACAGACGTGCCCAGAGATGCATCTCCTAGGTGATTCTAAATCCAGTCAAGTTGACAATGAGGTTTAGCAATGGCAACTACCGAGAGAGGCAGAGCACTTTCTTTTTTTAAAAAATTTTATTTAATATTTTTATTTTATGTGTGCGAGTATATTGCCTGCATGTATGTAAGTGCACCCATGTCGTGAAGTGCTGAGACGGTAAGAAAAAGGCATCAGATTCCCCTAGAACTGGTGTTAAGGAAGGTTCTTAGCCACTATGTGGGTACTGGGAGTCAAACCCAGGCTCTCTGCAGGAGCAGTCAGTGCTCTTAACTGCTGAGCCATCTCTCCAGCCCCTAGGCTTCACTTGCATAGCTTTACGAATGGCCTGCTAGGGCCTTCTTGACTCTCAGGGCCTTCTCACAATGACTCTGTCACTGGTGTATATTTCCTGGCCTCAGCAGCTTTCTGAAACCAAGAAAGAAGACTCTAGGATCCCCCCACTTTTCCATCTCTCAGGCTTCCAAAGCCAGCATCAAGAGAATGATACTGCCAGTTTCAGCTAGCAGCTTGGGGTGGACCTTGGCATTCTTCATCCATATTAACAGCAGATTTTGTTTGTTGAAGCAATTGCTTTTTTAGGAGCAGAAACCCCCTTAGTCCACAAGTTGGAAGCTAAGTGAGGTGGAATCTTACCCTTAGGGCATTCTTCCCAGTGCCTTCATGATGCTACTGTCTTTATGAATTACAACCTGTTTTTCAGCACCTACCTTAGATGCAACATTAAGTTTCCTTATGTTCTTTTTCTCTCCAAATTCTATATTTATTTATTTATTTAGTTTTTTTGAGACTTAATCTTACAGAGATCCACCTGCCTCTGCCTCCTGAGTGCTGGGATTAAAGGCATGTGCCACTAACACCTGACTTCAACCTATATTTTTTATTTTTTACTACCTTACTTGTTCTTTTTCACTGTAGACCTGCATAAGCATTGCCATTAGTAACCATATCACAGATTCAATGCTGGTTGCCTTAAAATTTCTTCCTTCAAAGAAATTAGTCCATAACCTTTAAATTTAGCCTCAGACAAGTTCTTAGTACAGGGGCAGAAGGCAACCAGATTCTCTGCCAAAATATCACAAGAATGGTCTCTAGTCCGGTTGCTGTTTAAGTCTTTGCCGCCCCCCCGCCCCGCGTGCCTCTGAAACATCTTTAGACCAGCCTCTACAATCCAGGCTGTATTAGAATGACTGATTAAGCTCTACTTACCACATTCAACTGCTTTTCTATCCAAAGTTTTCCACAGTTCTCACACAATAACAACAAAAAATACATGGTCAGGTTCTTCACAGTAACAGCCCACTCTCTGGAACCCAGGAGATGATTCTAGATTTTGTCAAGTTAACAACACTAACCATCAAAATGGTTAACAGCATAGATTTTTTTAAATCAGAAAGTCATCGTGTTAAAAATGCTATTTTTGGCCATGTAATCTTGTCACGGTGCCTAATTTAACTTTCAATTTCTTCATGTTTAAAATGGAAACGGTAGTATATATTTTGTTAGATTAAATCAGTTGAGGTTTATTAAAATGTGTAATGATTTATTTACTGAAATAATCCTTCAATAGTTAGATAATGATGAATTTAGGTGGGCCTTTTCTGCTGGGAATTTGGGTTTATTAGTCAGATTCTGGAAAGAAAGTTTTAATCTGACATCAGACTAAAGAGATAATGACAAACAAATTGGCGGCCATTTTAATATTCCAAGATAGAAAATGTTGTAAGTAGAATAAAGGTGGTGGTACTGGCATGTAAAAGAGAGGGTAGATTGACAATGCAGTGAAGAAAGAAATTAAAGCAGAGCTGGTAGCACATTGGCTATGGAGACGGCTAAAGAAGGAGAAGCCAACGATGACATCCATCTCTGCAATCCCATGGAAGTCTTAACAGGTATCCCTCAATAAGTTGACCATTATCTGTGAAATTAGGTAATGAAAGTCAGTTCTCTGTGAGATTTTCCTGTCACTCCTATCATTCAGCATTCTGTCCTTAGCACTGACACACTGAATGTACTAAATGAGAAACTAAGAGCCCTGCTTGTATATCAACTGCAGTGGTCTTTGCAATGGGAAGCAAGATGTACAGAAAACCACCTCCTGAAGGAAACATAGTGGCTCAAGTTATCAAATGTATCTGGGTAAGTTCATGAATTGCCTGCTTGCCTTTTTCAACAAAAAGGGAAAAGATGCTATGCTGAGCACACAGCTCTCATACATATGCACGTTTTCCTCAATGATCTCTGATTAATCGATCTTCCTCTTTGCCTCTGTTTAATCGTTAAGTTTTGAAAAGTAGCCGCTTTTCAAGTTGGCAAAAATCTTCTGAGTACAGTTACATAGATTCCGAAAGTAAATAAGGAAAGATAAAATTATACCTCAAGTATTCTGAAATTAAATGTTTGGTGACATAAAGAGAATGAGCAAGTCACTAAAAACATGTGTGTTTGAAGGAAGGGGTAATGAATTGGAAAATAAGAGGGTATTTCCCTTTGTCTCTGAAACCTGTTCTCTGCCCTAGTTTGCTATTTCCAATCGCTTCAAGAACCGTTCTGGGGACATTCCAAAGCGACCACACTGGTTGGACTGGGCAGCAGAGAAATACCCAGTAAGTTAAAACTGCAGGAACATCTCACAACTCTATGAAATCCTTTCAGTCTTTTCTCCTGGCACAGTTGACCTTTTCTTTTACTGTATTTTTTGACCATTTCTACTCTGAGCAAGAAAACCAGATTTGGGACTTGTGGCAATTCTGCCTGCTCTTTTTTCCTCCCTGCAGAAACATCTTATTATGGATGTGAAGGCATTGACCAGGGTACTATTCCTTTACATTCCACTGCCCATGTTCTGGGCTCTTTTGGACCAGCAGGTAATAATTTTTGTTTTTTAAGAGACGCATCTTCCTTCAGCTACTTTCTACCTATAGGAGAGGGATTTCTCACAATAGACTCTGTCTGCCCTAGGGCTCACGATGGACACTGCAAGCTAACAGAATGGATGGGGATCTGGTGAGTTGACAGATTTTTTTCCAGAGAAGTCTATTATGTTCCTCATCGTGCATAGTAAAGAAAAATTAATTTATTTGTGATTTTACTTAAAAACTGACAAATCATTAGAAAAGTACATTAAATCTGAAACCACTGGGTAGGTAAAGGTAATCAAAGTCAGTTGGGCTAGAAATGAAAACCAGGATCTTGCTTTTAGAAATCAGGAATATAAGAATGGGAAATGTTTAAATACTCCCAAATATGTGCTGAAAGGACAGCAGATGGCTACAGGTCTGGTTGTTGATTTTCTTCCATTGAAGCCTGTCCTAGGGTATACTAAGAAAAAGCTTGATTATTGCTACTATACAACTTGTCTCATCACTAAGGCAGGATTAGACAGGGGACCTATAGGAAATATTAATAGACTATTTTATGTGTGTATATGGGAAGAATGAGAAAGTTGTAAACATTCTTTTCTCTTTTTTCAATGTTCATCCATTGGTCCACTCTGTTCTAAATTTTTCCACTTCTAGAGTATTACATTTGTAGTTCTGAAGAAGAAAGGGTGGGGTGATACCAGATGCCTCCTAATATAATTTTACCTCTCCCTTCCTCTAGTTGTCTAGAAGTTACCATGGTAGTTTTCTTGTTGCTCTGTGGAGAGCAACTTTGGAAGCCCTGTGTGTCAGTGGGAGTCTTCACTTTGACCACAACAGCTTTTTCTTCTGTTACTACCAGCTATAACTGCAGTTGCTGAGATTAATGAAACCACACCAACTTTATCTCCCTCAAGTTAAAGAAAGTGTAGTTCAGGTTGAGTATCCCTAATCTAAAAATCTATAATCCTGATTGCTCCAAAATCCAAACACTCTTGAGCCCTAACATGATGTCACAAGTAGAAAATTCCATACTGTGAAACTTTGTTTCATGCACAAAATTGCCGCCAATTATTAGGCAAATTATCTTCGGGCTATTGTACGAGGCATATATGAAACATGAATGAATTTCATATTTAAACTTCAGGCCTTATCCCCCCCCCCCCCATTCATGTTAATGTTTGTAAATTCCAAGCATTATGGATAACGAATACTTAATCTGTATAAAGAAAAGTCTCTTCTCCCATGGGGGCCCATCAGTCCTCAGCAAACAGAGGCCCAAGTCTATTCCCAACCCCAAATACCCTTGTCAGCAAAACACAAACCCTGAACCAAAGATCTGATGGGTTTTCTTTTATATGCTTCTTATCTGTTAACTATCAAGATGAAGGATCTAGGTTTTCCTGGTCTTCTGTTATCTTCTAACTATAATTTGTTATAATGTTTCAGGGATTTTTTGTGCTTCAGCCAGACCAGATGCAGGTAGGAGACTTCTCTGTAGACCTGGACATGTATCTCTACCTGTATCTCTACCTGCAGTATTTGGGTTAACAGTCACAATCTGATGCATTCCTCATTGTATGCCGAGAAGGGCCAAGCATAGAGATGAAAACTTTTTCTTTAAACCTTACACTTCTCCTTTACATCCTTTGTCACGGAAGTAGTTCCACCTCCAGAGAGACCGAGTAGGTGCCCACAGGTAACATATGACCATTGGATTTTCTTTCTATGCCAAGGCAGCGTAATTGGAAATATTGTCAAGGAAAGCATAAACCTGGAACTAGGGCTGTAGCTAAGTGGTAGAGTGTTTGCTGCCACGCAAGATGCCCTAGTTCAATCCCCAGTACTACCTAAACAAACAAGGTTCGAACCTTCGTTGCATGAGTAACAAAGTCAGAATCTCTGCTTCCTGATGACATTCAGGATATTTTTTAGCCCCTTGTTAAGAAGCTAAAGGACAATGTGATAAACAATTCCTAGTATGACTGACAAGAAAGCAGGCTCAGAATAATTAGTCCCTGGGGATATATTTGGAGGTTAGGGTGCTATGCAAAGAAAGTAGAGCCTTGATTGTAAAGGGATTGAGGAGTGTGGACTCCTTGGTGAAAGTGTGAGGCTGTGAGAGAGTGCACATAAGCAGATGAGAGCATGAGCTCACACTCATGACAGAGAAACACTTGTGCTGATCCTTTTACATGCTGTTCCAGGTGCTAAATCCCTTTCTGGTCCTTATTTTCATCCCGTTGTTTGACCTTGTCATTTATCGTCTGATCTCCAAGTGCGGAATTAACTTCTCGTAAGTGTTCACTATGCTGTGTATTACTGTACACTGACTCAATTTTGCTCAGTTTGGTAAAGATTCAAAGCCTGTATCTGTCTATTAATGATGATTTGTTTTCATTTATCTGCTTCTAGTTTTCCATATTAGACTGTGTCTATTAATGTGGAAAAGTGGAAATTAGACCCAATTGATTGTCAATGCCAGTGCTGTGGACTTGATTGCAATGTTCTAAGATAGGTCTAGCCTTCATAAGAAATTGAAAGTATGTGAAATCAGGCTTCTGAACCGATGCGCTGCTTTCTCCTTGATTGTTGCCTCTTCAAGGAAGTCCAGAGATTTAGTATTTTTTATATTATATTATTTGTTTGTTTGTGTTGGGAGCACTCATGCCACAGGGTATACAGTGGAGGTCAGATGACAACATGCAGGAGTGCTTCTTTCCCTTCACCATGGACACCCAGGAATTGAGTTCAGATGGTTAGACTTGGTGACAAGGGCCCTTACCCTCTGAGTCATCTCACTGGCCCAAGTCCGGAGGTTTTGATGACAACTAATTCCTTTAAATCTCCTGTTGTTCTTATGAAACCAAGAAGGAACCTGCTAGGACTGAGTGTAGAACCATTTTAAAGTGCTCCTCACTGCACCCAACCCCATCCAAAGTAGAAACTATCATTTGTAAAGTTTGACAGAAGACATTTTCAAGCTTCCTTCCATCTCTGATTAAATAGAAATTTAGTTGTGAAAGTAAAGTGATGACCACTTTACCACATTCAAATGGTTTTGTCAGTTACTTATTGGGCAGATATTAGAGAGTTTAGGATCAAGTACCTTTCAACTATAAATTAAGCACAAATTTTTCCTTCAAAGAGTTAATAAGAGAGTTAGCACATAGCCAAGAATAACTATTACACAGGTGACAGGGTAAATGCCCCAGGAAGGGAAGATCCAAATGCCAGGGAAATATAGAAAACTGAGTCCTTCCTGCTGCCAGGGCCAACAAAGACTTCTGGAAAAGAAAATGAGTGAAAGAGTTCTAGCATTTGACATATAGTAAATGCTCAGCCAATCTGATAGTATTACTATCATTTTTAGTGTTATAAACATAATCACAAGTAGAGGTGCAAAAAAGTGGTGTATTACAAAGAAGAGTTGTTTAATGTGACATTGGTAATAGGAGAAAAAGTATGTATGAAAAGAAATTCTAGAAAATACTTTGAAAAATAATTGGTACAAAATTAGGAAAGGTCTTTAAAGAAAGGCTAAGGAGTATGGGTTTTGTACTTTAGAGTGAGGGACAGATATAATGATCTTCTTTTCCTCTGCAGATCACTTCGGAAAATGGCTGTTGGCATGATCCTAGCATGTCTTGCATTTGCCGTTGCAGCACTTGTAGAAATAAAAATAAATGTGAGCTCAGTAAATATTAAGTTCTCTCTCTGCCCTGCTCATTCTTTTTACTTGTTCAGTCTTGATTTCTCGGCACCTCCCACAGTATTTGTTTTACAGGAGGGGCATAGTAAATACTCAGGACAAGTAGAACAACAATGCAAAAGGAGGCCCACTTTCCACCTGAGTGAATCAGAGCTTGTTTTCTGGGAATTCCAAACACTAATACCCAAGATATCAAGCCAGTCTCTTCGAGAACAAAAGCTTATATGATGCCTTTGTAGATATATAAACAAATTCCTTTTGGCAATCAAATAGCCACTCCTAGTGAATGACATGTAAGAGCACAGCTGAGGTAAAAATGATGTTTTTTTTTTTTTTTTAAATTTTGGTCTTTTTGCAACAGGGTCTCCCTGTAGCCTCGGCTTGCCTAGATACAGAGATCATCTTGCCTCTGCCTCCTGAGTGCTGGAAATTTTTTACTTTTTTGAGACAGAGTCTCACTCTGTAGCCTTGGCTGACCTGGAACGTGTCACTAGGTATATCAAGCTGATATTGAACTCATAGAGATCTGCCTGCCTCTGTCTCCTAAGGGCTGGGATTAAAGGCATGTGCCACCATGCCCAGCAAGGGTGGTGTTTTTATTTTTACCTGCCATTGGTATTTGCTACATTGAGCTAGAGCTTTCCCTTTAAAATGCCTTTTCAGGTTTCTAAGGCAAATGCCCTTTGGTAGGATAAGATTGCATCCTCTTAGCTAGAAGGGCTGGGCTGTCAGAGACAGGTCTAAGGAATGTGTGCTCATTGTATCTAGAGTCATTTGTTGGTGATTCTAACACATATTATCTGTCTGTAAGAGAATGACCCAGTCCCAGCCAGCTTCACAAGAAATTTTCTTACAAGTCTTGAACCTGGCAGATGGTGAAGTAAAGGTAACAGTGCTGGGAAATGGAAACACTTCTCTATTGGTGGAGTCTGTCAAATCCTTTCAGGTGAGGCATAGGCCTGAATGAATTTGAAACTACATGCTGTAGAGTTGCCTTTATTGTTTTCTTAACATTAATTGTATCCTAATCATCTTCCCGTGCCCTTAGATAATCTCTGATAGTATGATTTTAATGAGTACATAATATTCTATCCTATGGATGCGGTTCATTTAAGCGTTTTCTTACAGATATTCAAGTTGGGCTTTGTTGTTGTTTTTGTGGCAATACTGGGGAATGAACCTGTGGCATGCTGTATGCAACACAAGCACTCTGAGTTACAGCTTCAGCCCTGCAAGTTTATTATTCTATGTAATCCTAGAATGAACGTTCTTTTTCAAAATCTTTATTTATGCTTCTATTTCCTATGGTAGAGTCTAAAAAATAAAATAACTAGTTTAAATAAAGGACTTAGTATTGTCTAAGGAGCCACATACTCTGAGGTGCTATGAAACTGTAATGTCCACCCTGGGGTAGAAAGTGAGTATTGTGGGTTCTTCATTTTACAGAAAACACCACACTATTCCAACCTACATCTGAAAACAAAAATCCAGGATTTATACTTCCACCTGAAGTATCATAATCTGTCTGTCCACAATAAACATTCTGTAGAGGAGAAGACTGGGTATACTTTGATCATTCATGAGGATGAAAAAAGTGTCTCCAGTATTATGGTAAGTGAAGGAACTACTTAAGTTCTATTTTGAAATAAGATAACGGGTCATCAATATCTTACCAAGGAGGTGCCTGAAGATCAAATGTTCTGATTATAGGTTCCTTTTGTTAGCATTTACCAATTTTCACTTTCCTTTATTGTAGGTAAAGGACTTAGAAAGCAAAGAAGTCAATGGGATGACTACCATCAGGTTTGGATGTCAATCAAACCCTGGCCATGTCTTTCTCTTGAATCTTGGCTCTCTTCTGATCTTTGGGATGTGGACGAAAAGGCCTTACATTTCACTTGTTCTGAGAAAAGATTACCTCTCCTAGATGTCAGGGGCACTGGTATCTGGGGCATTTTTAGGACAGTGAAAGGCAAACGGGCATACTTTCTTCCACTCAAAGATAGCCTTGTGTCTGTGGACACCCTCAGTTCTCTACTAGAAAGTTTCCTCCCTAATATTATCCATTTATCTTGCTCTTGGGAAAATAACTATAAATTTCTATCATTACCAGACAAAAATTTAGAACTGAGCTAATAATCCTCATTACATTTTTTGGTAGCTGGATATCTATATTTTAGAATATAATTTCTATCTAAATCGATAGAGGCATCCAAAGACTTGGTTTAAAATCCAGATAAGGCTGAAGGTCTTGTCAGATGGCAAGAGAGAGATGGAGTACTAACAAGGTCACCTGCCCTCTGTGGCAGAAACTAGGCATGAAATAGACAAATATACATCCTGATGGCACCAAGATCAAGTGCTACTGTTTAGAAATTAGAGGAGAAGCTTTAATCCCAGCACTCAGAAGGCAGGAGTAGACAGATCTCTGTGAGGTGGCAGCCACCCTGGTCTCCATAGCAAGTTTCTGGCCAACTAGAGCTACAGGAAGGCTCCATCTCAAAAACAACAAAATAACAACAACAATAACAACAACAACAACAATAACAACAGGGGCTGGAGATGAATAGGCCTGCAGGACAGACAATTTCTACATAAATGAAGGATGATCTGATACCCTGGTATCAATGTTTAAGATGCTAGAGGGAAGTACTTTTCTTATCCTTTAAGCCAAAGACCAAGATTAAAACTTTCAAAATAGAAATGTACCAAAAACCCATCCTGAGTGGGTAATCTGGGAACCTAAGCTTAAAAGATAAGAAAGAAGGTTCTAGAAGGGTCCAAGATTTCTGAAGACTGACATACAGTGATAACCACCTTCTGTGGACTGGGTCTATAAATTTTGCATGAGTCAAATTACACTTCGTTTATAAGAAGATATCAGTTTTATGTAAATGGTGTTATATCTTATTTATATTATATTTCTCAATAAAGTCTCAGTTGATGAATTCCACCACTAAGAGGGGAAGAAGGACTGGGGTAGGAGGAGATAGCTCAGTTGGTTAAAGTGCAAGCATGATGACCCATATTCAATCTCTGGAACCTATGTAAAAAGCCAACTGTGGTGCCATGCACTTTGGGGAGACAGACACAGGCAGATCCTCAAGGCTGGTGAGTCAGCCAGCCTAGCCTAATCAGTAAGCTCCAGGTCCTCCTGAGAGACTCTGTCTCAAAAAACAAGGTAGATGGCCATCCTAAAGAGCAACATCCATGTTGCCGTCCAGTTGATCTCGGACTTCCACACACATATGCATACCTTCACAACCATGAGCATGCACATACACACATACAGAAAGAAGAAAGAAATTAATTCCTAAACTAGATTAAAAAGGAAAGATTATATGAGTGACAGCAGCACTTTTCTCCACCATGACGTCTGATGAGGATGTGGGGATAAGTTAATACTTTAGGAAAACTCAGAAAAAGTTAAGATTCGTGTCTGCTTCTGACATGTGGCTTCATTTATTTGCTAGTTGATATCTGTATCATATACCTTTTATGTATCAGTCACTATTTTAGGCACTTGGCGTATCCGTATAAACAGCATACTATCAGATGTCCTTATTTGGAATGTTTTCTGATATATAAATAATTTGTCTGCCCTCAGGTTTATTAACACTTTGCATAAAGATGTCAACATCTCATTGGGTACAGATGTTCCTCTCAATGTTGGCAAAGACTATGGCATATCTACTTACAGAACTGTGACAGGAGGAGAGTAAGAATTTTGCCCCTGTGGACATTTTACTTTGATCAAAACCTCTTTTTCAAATGCTCTCTTTGTATTTGGGTGAAGGATGTAGACATACCTGGGCTCCTTCTGAGTATAGAAAGACTTCTGTTTCTTTTTAACCCTTGCCTCCTCCTCTTGGTCTCATCTTCCTTCTGCATAGATCTGCTAGAAAGAGAGAGTTGTGATGGCCATGCTGTGGTCAATCTGTGGTTAATACGACACATCTCCATGAGGCTCACAAGGTTTATTCTTAGCTTTGGCTTCCGCTCCTGGGTTTCTCTCATTGCTCATTACTTAGAATTTACCTTGCAGGTAAACTGGTTTATACTATTCAGCTAAGCCATAAGACTTTTATGAGCAAAGTTTGTGGGTTTTAAATCTACAAAAGAAGTTTATCTGTATGATCTTTATTCGGGTTTAGGATTTTAAAGATCTACCCAACAGGAATAAAGAGCTCAGATCAGAAGCAGAAGGTTGGCATGAAAATAACTTATTCCTTGAAGTACTCTCTTCAAAGAGAAATGGTGCCTTTATGACTTTCCTCCTCATCAGAGTTTCCATCAGTCTTCCTGGGAGATGGGAGCTTTTCTAAGCCATGCTGCCCATTCTAACCATAATCTTATCTTGTTCCAGATACCCTGCAGTTCTTTGTAAAACAGAAGATAAAGACTTTTTTCTGAATTTAGGTCTACTAGGCTTTGACGCATCATATCTGTTTGTTGTCAATAATGTAAGTAGCTTACAGACACCTCCCTGTCTGTCTCTCTGTGTCTCCTTTCCCTGTATACACACACACAGATACACACACATCCTAGGACCTTCTTGGTGAGGACATTGCAAAGGAAAAGACTTTATGACAAGATAGAATCACACACTTACTTCTGGTATAAGGTGACAGGTCTTATGTTAGACTTTCCATTGCTGTGACAAATATTATCTACAAATAAGTTTAAAGGGCAGAAAGATGTATATTGGCTCATGGCTTCAGTTATTTCTGTCTGTGATTGACTGGTCCATGGCAGAAACATCATGGTTGAAGGATATGGTGGAAGAAAGTTGCTCTGGTGGCCAGGAAGCAGATTGAACAGTAGAGGAAGGGGCTAGAGCAAGATAAACTCTTCAAAGGCATGTCCTCAGTGACTTGCTTTCTCTACACCTGTGGAAGGCATTACCTTTCACTGTTTCCACCACTTCTCAATAGTCCATTCAGAATTAGGCCAGACCCCTCAAGAGCTAATCGCTTCCCAAAAGCCCCACCTCTGATAATTATATTTTGGGACCAAGCCTTTAAAACATGAGTCTTCAGAAGAACATTTCATATTGAAATTACAGTAGTCCTACAGTAATTTTAGGAAGCAAGCCCACGGTCTCTGTAGAAGCTATGGAAAGATACTGTATTAGCATCAGGCAAAGAATCTTGGGAATGCTGATACAGTACATCCCAAGCTGTCACTATGAAATCTCACAGTCTGCTCTAGTCTCATTGTGGCCCTAAGAAACCAAAGATTATTTACACAAAATTATTTATGTCTCTTTGGTTGACTTGATATATGGGGTCTACTAGCTCTGTGGAATTCTTCTTTGGGGGCGATCTTTTTGAGACACGGACTCCCTGTAGCCCCAGCTGACCTGGAAGTTACTATGCAAGACCGGGCTGGCCTCAGTCTCACCGAGATCCACCTGCTTCTGCCTCCTGAGTGCTAGGACTAAAGGTGTGCACCACCAGGCCCGGTTCAGCTCTGTGGAATTCTGATATGCTACCATACCACAGTCTGAAGTACCAACACTGATAGAAAATGCCAATATCCACAAAAATTTTGAGGATTGGTTAACTGTGGTCTATCAAAACTAATTGTCAGTTGGGGCATGGTGGCACACACCTTTAGTCCCAACACTGAGGAGGCAGAGGCAGTTGGATCTCTGTGAGATCAAGGCCAGCCTAGTCTACATAGTGAGTTCCAGGCCAGCTGTGGCTTACAGGGAGACCCTGTCTCAAAAAGACCAAAAAAAAAAAAAGTAATTATCCCAGTAACTAGAGCAAGGAATTTGGAATTTATGCATTTTAATTTGGATGTCAATCTTAAATTCAGTTTCATCACTTTTGACCCTATAAAAGACAAAAGAGCTGGGTGTGGTGGTGCACGCCTTTAATCCCAGCACTTGGGAGGCAGAGGCAGGTGGATCTCTGTATGTTCAAGGCCAGCCTGGTCTACATAGTGAGTTCCAGGCCAGCTGGGGCTACACGGAGACACTGCCTTAAAAAGACCAAAAGAAAAAAAAAAGACAAAAGAGTGATAAGTGTTGATGGAAACCCAATCTATAAAATTACACTTATTTTACTTATTAATTAATCCCTTTGGTTACATATTTTTATAATGGGATTATTAAAATACAATTCCTGTACCATACAATTCACCCACTTACAGTATATAATATTTTAAATAATATATTTGGTATATTGCTATGTCTTCAATATTATGAGAATATCCAAATGATATGTATTTAGTGGCTCCTAATATTCCACAGAGTTGTGCAACTTTGGAACATTTTTCATCACCTCAACGAGAGTCCTCACACTTACTATTAGTCCTTCCTCTTTGCCTGCCAAGCTGCTACTCCTAGGCAACTGCTACTCTGCTTTCTATGTATAAAATTTCCTTTTTTCAACATTTCATTTAATGTAGAGAATTAACATCGTGTTGCCCTTTGTGTACAGATTCTTTCATGTGGAATGGTTTTTCAAGGCTCATCAATGTTGTCACATATGTCAATACATCACTTCTTTACATTTCCAAATAATATTCCATTGTATAGTATATTTTATTCACTCATTCATCAGTTGATGTGCATTTGGGTTGTTTCTATCTTTTGTGTTTTATACATACTGCTGCTAGGAACCTTCTTATACAAGTTTCCATGGGAATCTATGTTTTCATTTCTTTTTGGTATATGCCTAAGGGTAGAATTCCTGGGTCACATAGTAAATCCATGTTCAACCATTTGTAGAACTACCAGAATGACTTTTCTCTTTTATGTTCTTATTAACAGTGTGTATGGGTAGTAGTTTCTCTACATCTTCATCAATACTCATTTGATTTTTCATTATTGTCATTTTAGTGGATGTATTTCCCTGACAGCTAAGGAGGTTTGTGTATCTTCATGTGTAACATTTTGGATCATTTGTTTATCTTCTTTAGAGAAACATCTGTTAATAACCTTTGCCCAATTTCTAATTGAGTTATATTTTTCTATGGAGTTGTAAGCATTCCTTGCATATTTTAGGTATACCTGTTATCAGATAAATAATTTACAAATTATTTTGTCCAATATATTGATTGTCTTTTAATTGTCGGTGTGTGTTGAAACACAGATTTTTTTGTATTTATTATTTTAAATTTTATTTATTACTTTTTTTTTAAACTTTTTGTTTGTTTTTTGGTCTTTTTGAGACTGGGTCTCCCTGTAGTCCCAGCTGGCCTGGAACTCACTATGTAGACCAGGCTGGCCTTAAAGTCACAGAGATCCACCTGCCTCTGCCTCCCAAGTGCTGGGATTAAAAGGCATGTGCCACCATGACTGGCCTATTTTTTTTTTAACTTTAAAAAAAATTTATTGAGAATTTCATACAAGCATATAAGGTGTTTTGACCAAATCCACGCCCACTCCCTCCCCTACAACTCCTCCCATATCTCCCCATCACTTTTTTCTGACAACTTCGTGTACTCTTCTTTCTTTTTTCTTTTTCTTTTTAATGGAGCTTTTTGCTACTCTAACATTCTCTCCTCTGAAGAGGTAACCCTAAAATCTTTTAGGGATTAGATAAGAGATCCCAAATACTTTTGACATGTTTGGCCTTTGGAACAGAGTATGTTGCTAAGAGGCCCAAGGACATTTTGACTTTTAGCCATGAAACTGGCTACTTTTCTTTGGGGTCTTTGTACCCTAACTGCCTAGCCAATTCCTACTTCCTTTTCTTATCACACCATCCTCTGAAGAGGTTACACAAATTGCTGATGGAGAATCGGGTAGCAGACTGCTCTGACTTCTTCCATACTGAACAGGGATGCAGGGTAAGGCAATTGGGGTACCCCTTCAGTGGTTCTATCCAAAAGACTCCCAAATTACATAACTCAACTCTAGGGAGAAAACAAAGTCCTTGACTGGTGCATAGGAGATGTGAAGGAGAAGTAAAGGCAAGAGTAGTTAGCATTACAAGTTCTAGACAGGTAACCAGAAAAAGGTCAGAACAGGGCAAATTTCAAATGTTCATATCAGAGTCCATTGAAATTTCTTGAGAGCTTCCAAAAACATCCTTCTGTTGGGTTCCTCCTCATTTTTCTTTTGTCTGCCAAGGCTCCATGAAAGCTTTACAGATTTCTGTTAGGAATCTGATTCCACCCTAGGATCATCATGGGCTCTTCACATCATCCTGTGAAATCCCCACTTCTTAGTAAATTTAGTCATCATTTTAGAACAATAGCAGGTTGTCTCCTTTAGCTATAGGTGGGCACTACAGTACTGCAGACCAAGATTTGAAGTTTTACATCTGAGCAGCACTTTCTGGTTAGGAACAAAATTATAATTGTTTAAATAACATTTTATATGGACTTAAGCCTAATGTCTGGGAAGTGTAATCCCTTGAACTCTTAAAGAAATATGCTGACATATACTGATCACTTTTTTTATACTGATCACTTTAATCTTTGGGTGTTTAAGACCATACAGTGGCCCAAATAAACCAATTTATTTATTTATTTATTTATTCATTCATTCATTCATTCATTTATTTATTTGGTCTTTTTGAGACAGGGTCTCCCTGCAGGCTGGCCTTGAACTCACAGAGATCCACCTGCTTCTGCCTCCTGAGTGCTGGGATTAAAGGTGTGCACCACGATACCCAGCAAACAAATTTGCTTTTACTCTTAAGGTCATTTGAGGAGCTGTTCCTCAGGGGTCACATGGGCTTAGGAGGATCCTCTGGCTCCTTTATTTTATCAGTTCCATCTATGTGAAGATAAGTCAAAGGTCCTGCTTGACCATGGCTGGCTTCACTTGGAAGCATGGAGGAAATGTTTCCTCTGTGAAACACAGATGTTTTTAATTCTGATGAAGTTCAGTTTATTTGATTGTGATTTTGGTGTCACATTTAAGAAATTATTGCCTAGCCAGCTGGGTGTGGTGGCACACGCCTTTAATCCCAGCATTCAGGAGGCAGAGGCAGGCAGATCTCTGTGAGCTCAAGCCCATATTGAGTTCCAGGCCAGCTGGAGCTACAGGGAGATCCTATATCAAAAAGACAAAAAAAGAAAAGAAAGCATTGCCTAATCAAGATCACAATGTCTCATGTTTATGGTTTCCTCTGAGAATTTTATAGTTTTAACTTTTATGTTTAATTCTTTATTCTATTTTCAGGTTTCTTTTTGTACATAAGGACCTTTTTAAAAAATATTTTATTTATTATTTTTATTTTATGTGTTTGAGTATATTGCCTGCATGTATGTGAGTGCACCCGTGTCATGCAATGCCTGCTGAGGACAAAAGAGGGCATCGGATTCCCCTGGAACTGGAGTTAAGGATGGTTCATAGCCACTGTGTGGGTGCTGGGAGTCAAACCCAGGTCCTCTGCAAGAGCACCCAGTGCTTTTATCCACTGAACCATCTCTCCAGCCCCATAAGGACCTTTTTAAATTTATTTTTTATTTTATGTGTTTGAGTGTTTTGCCTGCTTGTATGTAAGTGCGCCATGTGTGTGCAATGCCTGTGGGGGCCAGAAGAAGGCAATGGATTCCCTGGAACTGGAGTTAAGGACAATTGTTAGCCACCATAGCTAATCCAGGCCCTATAGGAGAGCAACCAGTGCTCTTAACCACTGAGCCACCTTTCCAGCTCCATATATAAGGACCTGTTGCTAAAGATATATGCTCAACTCTTTCATACAGATATAAATCTATCTATCATCTATCTATCATCTATCTAGCTAGCTATCATCTATCTATCAATCATCTATCTATCTATCATCTTATCTATCATCTATCATCTAATTTCCAGCCATCCCAGCACAGTTTATTGAAAAAACTGTTTATCAAATGATCATGATATTCCTTGTTGAAATCAGTTGGCCATAAATATGAGGTCTTATTTATGGGCTCTTATTTCTACCCATTGATCTACATGTTTATACTGTGTCACTTCCACATTATTTTTGTTTCCTATTGCTTTGTAGTGAATTTTGAATCCAGAAAATGTCAGTATCTACCCACCCCCTTTTCTTTTTCAAGCTTGATTTATAGACCGAGAATGTGGCTCAGTAGTACAGCACTTGCCTGGCATGTGCAAGACCATGGGTTCTATCCTCAACCTCAAAATAAAATAAGAGATTGATCAGTCGTTCTGGGTCCCCTGAATTTCCACATGAAGTTGAGTTAGCTTAGGAGTAGAAACCAACTGAAAGGAATCATACTGAATCTGAAGATCATTCACAGGGACCATTGCCATTTAATAATATTCAGTGACTATGAAATGTCTTTTCATTTATTTAGATATCTTTATTTTTTCCAACAATGTTTTTGTAGTTTTCAGAATATGTTTTTTGCATTTACTTTTAAAAATTTGTTCCTATTTTTTTGGAAACTGTTGTTAATGAATGATTTTTTAAATTTCATTTTCACTTGATCATTTTAAGTATAGAAATACAAGTGATTTTTATGTTATTCTTTGTATATTATCCTGAACCCTTCCTAGACTCATTTATTAGTCCTAATACTACTTCAGTGGGTTGCTTGAACTTTCTACATACAAGATCATGTCAACTGTAAATAGAGATAGCCTCAATTTCTTTTCAGTATAGATGTTCATTATTTCTTTTCTCTGCACAGTTGCTCTGGTACAGCAGACATCTGCTTGGGGAGGGGCATTAAGTCTTATCACTAAGAAGATAAATAGATATCCTCCATCAATGGTTGAGGACATTTCTGTCCACTGCTAGGTTTTGAGGTTTTGTCTGATTATTTGCTCACTTGTTTATTTTATCTCATTTATATGGGGTTGAATTTTGTTACGTGCTTGTTCTGAATTTATTTAGATGACAAGGTGATTTTTGTCCTTTAGCCTACTGATACGGTGTATGACATTAATTGATATCATCAGATATTAAAACAAGCTTAGGCCTATTAGTTGCATAAGGCTGCTATAAGAAAAAAAATGTCATAAGCTTGGGCTAGAGAGATAACTCAGCAGTTAGGAGCACTGGCTGCTCTTCTAGACGACCTGAGTTCAATTCCTAGCACCCACATGATGACTAACAACCATCTCTAATTCCAGTTCCAGGGGATCTGACTCCCTCTTCTGACCTCCATGGGCTTTGAGTAATATGGGCGCACTTAATAGACATGCAGACAAAGCCCTCACATACATAAAATAAAAAAAATAAATTTAAAAATGTTTTAAATGTCATAATCTGAAGAGCCTACAAAATAGAACCTTATTGTTTCATAGGTATGTGAACTACAAGTCTGAGGTCAGGATATCTGTAGGGCTGGTGCACCCTTTCTCTGCCTTACCTATAGCTTCTGGTGGTTTACTGGGAATTTGGTATTTCTTGGTATATAGTATAATCACCCCAATGTCTACCTTTATCTTCATACAGAATTTTTTGTGTGCCTTTCTGTCCAAATTTCCCTTTTTATATAGATCTATCAGTCCATTCTAATGACCCCATTTGAATGTGACTAATTGCATCTATAAGTACCCTAGGTCAAAATTAACTCACAGTCTCAAATTCTGGCTGCTAGAACTTTAACACTTGAGTTCTTAATGTCACAGTTTGACTTGCAAGAGTTGTTACTTCTGGTATTATTCCAGTCTTGGCTTGTTCTGTCTCTCATATGCTGCTCAAACTGTATGCCATAGATGCTTCTAAACACCAATATCTAATAGACATCTAAAGTAGAAATCATGCGGCTGGAGTGATTGCTCAGTGGTTAGGAGCTCTGACTGCTAGAGGACCTGGGTTCAATTCCCAGCACCTACATAGTGACTAAGAATCATCTGTAACTCCAGTTTCAGGAGGTTTGATGTCCTCTTCTTCAGTGCCCTCGATGGCCACTGCACAACACAGGTGCACTTACACACATGCAGGCAATACACTCATACACATAAAATAAAAAGAAATAAAATATTTAAAAAATAAATTGGGGGTCTGGGAACTCAATTCCTTCCACAGTCCATAGTCCTGCCTTGTTTGGTTTATATGGTGTTAACATAAATAATAAACAAATCAATGGCTGATACTTAAAAGTCAAGAAATTTTACCTAAGAACATGGATTACTTACACTGGTATAATGTTAGATGAATCTGTAACAGATATCACCATGTCAACTGACTGGTACTTTAGTGGCTCTGACCTTGATGGAACCTGTGCTGTCCAGTTCACTGCACTCACTATTTCAGCATGCCTCACTTACTTAATTACCTACCCTAGAGCATTTGAGTAGCTGACCTCGATTTAGAAGCTCTAGTCATGGTCTGCTCTTATGCTGAAAATTCCATACAAATAGATGCCTGGATACTATTTATATTCTCAACTAAAGCAAACAGGACACCTTGATTTGATTATTTAGAAGCTTATGTCCTTTGACTCAGAATCAAAAGCATTTGGATAGCAACAACTTAATCTCTAGGACTTTTACTGTAACTGCCTGAAGTCAGGCAAAGGAACCAGTAGTACCAACAGAAATGTCAAAATGCTAGAATTATGTAGAAATGTCCAATCTCTTAAAGGTAGCAGAGAAATGAACATAAAAGGAAAGGATAGATTCTGATCACAGAATGCTGTATGTAGGCTAATCGGGTTTCCTGAGAAGTCTGTTTTCTTCTTTTTGTCACTAAGGTCACCAATCAGGGCCTTCAGGCCTGGAAAACAAGAGACATCCCAGTCAGTCAACTGTCCATTGCATGGCAGCTACCACAGTATGCCCTGGTTACGGCAGCAGAGGTCATGTTCTCTGTCACAGGACTTGAGTTTTCTTATTCCCAGGTAAGATGTTGTGGTGGAAGGTAGAAGTGGAGACACTGCTTAAAGGATAGTGAGTTTTAATTCTTCCACTGCTTGAAATAGGTCAAGCCATCCGGGTCAAGACCTCCATCTCTTTGGTTCATGGGTTCCTTACATATGACCCTGAACAGTCATCATGATTTCCAGAAGCATGACAGTGCAGCATATGAGGCTATATTGTTTGGGATCTGGGGAAAAAGAGAAAACGCTTAAAGATGAAGACTAAGGGCTAAGGACGGAGTCAGACCGATCATGTTCATAAGGGCTGCATGACATGACCTGTGCACCTGGAGCAAGTGGATTATCATCTCTCCAAATATCTCTCTCTCTCTCTCTCTCTCTCTCTCTCTCCCTCTCTCTGCATGTGTGTGTTTCCAGAGTCCCTTGAGCTGGAGTTATAGGCAGATTTGAGCCACTAAACCTGGGTGCTGGAAACTGAACTTGGGTTCTCTGAAAGAGTAGCAAGAGCTCTTGAGCACTGAGCCATCTCTCCAGCTCTGTTTTATTTTGTTTTGCTTCCTTTCCTTTATGTTCTTTTTTTTCCTTATATTTTAAGAATACTGTAACAATAGAATTTATCTCTTAAGGTTGTGATAACAATATGATATGGTAAATTAAACATTCAATGAGGAGACCCATTGTATTCTTACTGTGACTCTTACTATGAATCAAAGTGATAGCTGAACATAGTGGGGAAAGTGGGAGTATGGAAAATTTTATGGGTGAAGTTTTATGGGGTAACAGGTGGAATAGAGAGTTTGTTTGCTTACAGACTTGTCCTCCCTAGGCACCATCTAGCATGAAATCTGTACTCCAGGCAGCCTGGTTGTTGACAGTGGCAGTTGGGAATATCATTGTGCTTGTTGTGGCACAATTCAGTGGCCTGGTACAGGTACGGATCTGAGGAAAACAGTTATTTGTGTCTACCCAGATATCCCTCCAACTTCCTCTTCCCTGTTTTCCCATCCCTTGGCCTCCACATCCCCCACTCAGTGCTATGAAGGTTACATATCAGACATTGCCAGGAAACAGGTATATGTGTGTGGCAATAGTGACCACTCTGTACCTGTGGGAGGGGAGACCAAGGAACCTAGTGTTCATCCCAGGAAACTGCCTCACAGGGTGATCTCTTAGTCATTGGGCTTCCTAGTCCCCACCCTGCACAGATCCCTTTAATTCAGACATCCCCCATGATCTTCTCATGTTTATTTCTTCCTGCAGTGGGCTGAATTCATTTTGTTTTCCTGCCTTCTGTTGATGGTCTGCCTGATCTTCTCCATCATGGGCTACTACTATGTTCCTGTAAAGTCAGAGGCTATTCATGGGCCAACAGATAAGAAGATCCCTCATATTCAGGGGAATATGATCAACCTAGAGACCAAGAATACAAAGCTCTGATGACTCCCTGGACTGACAACCCTGGTTTCAGCCATCACTTATCTTCAAGCATTTTTTTCTATTCCTACTGGGTTAGGAGAAGGAGATAGCATTCTATCTGAGTTATCTCCAACTTTCTATCATGAGAGAGGCAATACTAGGAATAGGTTTTCCAGTATATCTTTAAACAAGGACCCAAGAGTCTATGTCCTTCAAGCTGTCAATGAATTCAGTAAACTTCAGGTAATGTTGCTCCAGCTGGCTGGTATCTCCAAATGACCATGAAAATACAAATATATAATTGAGATAAGTCTTTGTGGGTATGCAAAGTTTGGAGATTCCTTTATCAGGCACCTGCCCTTTAGAAGGGATGACTCAAATTTTTGAGGGGCAAAAATGCAGAATAACAGAGGTATGGTATTTGAAGTTTCTCTATCAGCTGTGTAATTGCGCTATTCACAAAGATATAAAAAATGGTGTGTATGGCATGATCTGATCCAGGGACTGGCTTGTCAGCTATTAAGTTCAATAAGATCTTAGATGGCAGGACATAGTAGGCCATTTTATTCCTAATATATGGAAGCAATATCTTTCTGATTACCACAGTACTTTATCAACTTACCCAAAGACTCCTTTCTCAGTACTGACAGATCCTGGAAACCACAATTAAAGAGTAAATGCGGTCATGGTGAACAGGAACAAGTATAAACTGTAGAACTCCTAGGGAGCTATTCACTCTTCTTTAGTGTACATTCCTCTAAGAAGCTATGATGTTTGGCCCTGAACTGTGCTCTTCTGCAGACATTTGTTTAAGAAACCGACTGTATTTTGCAACTTAGGCTTTTCAGTATTGCTGGGACAGCTTTGTCTTATTATTGCATCTATTTTTTGCTTATTGCAACAAATCTTCAAAAACAAAATGTTTTCGTAAGCCCAACTTCCTTTAACACCCCCCCCCACTTAGCTTCTTCATTATGAATTTTTCCTGGTTTACTTTTCCTGTAGTTTTTATTTGCAATTTCTCCCTGTAGTCTTGGACTTTTCCTGTTTATTGAAAAGGGGTAATGCTAATGTCCTAGGTTTAAGCTCCTGAATGGTATTCAGCAAATGGGGATGGTCTTGAATGAAGATCCTATCAAAATCCACAGGTGAACAGAGCACGTAGCATTTCTGTTTGTGTGTTTGAATGAAAAAAAAGTTGAGAAACATTATCTCACATGCAGTGAATGGATTGAGGGGCAGACCCGGGAATATCATGACCATGTAGCATGTTGCTAGGAGGAAAATTTTATAACTCATGTACTAAATACCTCATTCCCACTCATTTTAATCCATCATGGTTCCATCTAGATCCATGTTGGGTCTCACATTGTTAATAATGTAACAGGTTCTTAAGAGAATTTGCTCTAGTACCCCAAGTTTTATAGACTTTAGTTTTAATCACCAAGATCTCAGAAGTAGTGAAGTGATAGCAACACCGTCCGGTTTCTTCAGATATCTTGATGTGAACTGACCGTATTCCTTTAGAAGACAATATGTTTAATTTTAAACAGCTTTAACTCAAAACTATTTTATGAATTTTGTTTCAAGAGATGTTAACACTGATCGGTGAATAAAAGTTTTTATGGACAAGTAAATTTGGGAAATAAGGTAAATGAGTTGCATTTTCTCCTAAATATTATATTTGCATGTTAAAGATGCTGAGATATCCTTCAGTAAAGCCACAACACACCGGATTTAACCTAATATGCTATAGTGCTCAGCAGAACACTGGTTTTAGATGAACTGTCAGAAAATTCTTCCTTACCCTTAAGGCTTCACTTATAAACTTTCCTTCTATTTCCCTGGAGGCATAGCTCAGTGGCAGAGCACTTACCTAGTATGCCCAGGGTCCTGGGTTCAATCCTCAGCATCACAAGCAAGCAAACAAACCCAAGCCCTGCCTACTAGTGGTTCTGTCTTTTATCACAAACAAGAATAAGCATAGCTCCCTCTTTCCGATGGCAAGTGGCAGTATATAAGTTATTTGGGAGAGTGCCTCTTATTTTTTAGATTTTTCAAATGTTATTTTTGTCATATTTGATACAGATCTTTTTACAAAGGAGAGCATTACAGATATAGAAAGGTCTTTGGTATGGTTTTATGTGACTGTCACATTTACTAAATTATTTCTCATTTTCTATATTTTTTCATTTATGATAGTAATAATGTACTTGCTGTGTATATTTCTTTTATATATACATTTTTTTTTATTTTTTAGAAGAAGCATTTCATTACAGCTTTAACATATTCAATAACAGTTTCCAGAGCAAAGATACATCTCTTTCAAAAGTGGCTATAAAATTTTTAGGTTCACTGTTGAATTAATACAGTTATACAATATTGAACTCAGTATAAGCCCTGTAAGACATAAAATTGAATGAGTTTTTAACCTTTAAAAAAGATCTCCATTTCATTTTAAAGTATACTGTTTCTTACAAAAAGACAAATTGTTTTTGCTAATAACACTGTGATGTATTTTATAGAGAGAGTTGTCATGGTTTGAATCTGAAATGTTCCTCACAGAGCCATGTTTTGAATGCTTATTCCCCCAGCTGGTGGTGTTATTGGGAAAACTGGAGCTTTTAGGACGTGGGGACTAGCTAGGGAAACTAGGTGGGTTTTGAAGGTTATACCTGATTCTAGCCTCATTCTCTACTAACTGGTCTGCTAACTGGTCTGCCCCACATGCCTATGACTATGAACTCTGACGTACCTTCACTGCTATGATGGACTGAAACTTTCTGAAGCTATGAGCTAAAATGAACCTTTCCTACCACAAGTTGTTTTCTGTCAGGTGTTGTGGTCACAGTAACATAAAAACTAACCAATACAGGAGGATAATACTGATTATTTTGGGTATTATGTGTTTTGCATTGCTTGGGATTAAGCCCAGAGCCCTTGCACCAGGCAAGCATTCTACCAAAGAGCTACATCCCACTCCTGAATATATTTTTTTTGTTGTTTAAAGTTATGCTTTCAAACTCTATGCATGATTTTTATTTACATAATAATTTACTGAGAATTTCATACATGTAAATAAGGTGTTTTGATCAAATCCATGCCCACTCCCTCCCCTCCAACTTCTCCCATATCTCCCCATCACTTTTTTCTGATAACTTCATGTACTCTTTTTTCTTCTTTGATTTATTCATTTGTTTTTATGGGGCTTTTGGCTACTCTAACATTCTCTCTGAAGAGGTAACCCTAAAATCTTTTAAGGATTAGATACAAGCTCCCAAATGCTTTTGTCATTTTTGGCCTTTGGAACAGACTATGTTGCTAAGAGGCCCAAGGACATTTGACTTTTAGCCAAGAAACTGGCTAGTTTACTTTGGGGTCTTTTTACCCTAACTGCCTAGCCAGTTCCTACCTCCTATTCTTGTCACATCATCCTCTGAAGAGGTTACCCAAATTGCCAATGGGGAATCAGGATGCAGACCACTCTGGCTTCTTCCATGATAAACAGGGAGGGACACAGGGTGAGGCAATTGGAGTAACCCTTCAGTGGGTCTATCTAAAAGACTCCCAGATTGCATAACTCTTATCTCTAGGGAGAAAAGAAAGTCCTTGAATCGTGACTAGGAGATGTGAAGGAGAAGCAAAAGCAAGAGTTATTATCATTATAAGTTCTAGACAGGGAACTAGAAAAAAGTCAGAACATGGCAATTTTCAAATGTTCCTATGAGAGTCCACTGGAATTTCTTGTCAAGGGCTTCCAAAAGCATCCCTCTATTGGGCTCCTACGCATTTTTCTTTTGTCTTCCAAGGCTGGACTCTAGAGTGATGGATTCAGGATTTGCTTTCAGGTATTTTGATAGCTGTTGGAGTGGTTAGAATCAGTGTCAGTTACCTCGAAAAGGCTTTGAGATAACTGAGGTGTTGCTGAGGTGTATGAATGACCTGAGGGTATGCACACTGGATAGCCTTTTCCCAGCATGGGTCATGCCTTCTCTTCCTAGCTTTCAACAGATTGTATACTTTAGCCCTCCCCAAATTCAGCAGGCCATGTGTGATTAGGGTCAAATTACATACCAAATAACTTTTTATATAGACTTAAGGGTAATGTCTGTCTATGCATGTTATATATGTAAGTTTTCTCTCTCTCCCTCTCTTTTTTTTTTTTTGACAGTGTCACCTTGGCCATCCTGGAACTCACTTTGTATACCAGGCTGGCCACAAACTCACAGAAACCTGCCTATCTCTGCCTCCCCAGTGCTGGGATTAAAGGAATGCACCACCACGCCCAGTATATTAGGTTCTCTTTAACCTGTATGTAAAATTTGGTTGTATGAATATACTTTAGCATTATTATATATTTAATATAATAGTATTTGATATTGATATTCTTTTATAATTTTGCAAAAAAAACTTCATATATTTGTGTATGACTAGGTTTTTATCCAAGTTACATACACAATTTCTCTCTTATTTGGTGCCAATTTTTTTTTAACTTAAAAAAATTTACTCACTACTATCCTCAGGCCTCTTGGGGTAAGTCTATGGCGCGGCTCTCCGTGCCAGGACTCCCTAAGCCACATTCACCCTTCCATATATATCCCCTCCCCCGCCGTTCTATACTCCTAGTTTGGGCCGTGCGCCATTCCTAGTCTTGGGGCCCCAGACACCAGGGGAACCAATACTGCTTCCTGACCCTTGTCACCCAGACCAACTCAGTGCCTTTCTTGGCTGCTAGGAGCACCGCTTTTGGTCCTGGCCCCGCCCTCACCTCCCTCTACTTCCCCCCCCCCGCCGTTCTATACTCCTAGTTTGGGCCGTGCGCCATTCCTAGTCTTGGGGCCCCAGACACCAGGGGAACCAATACTGCTTCCTGACCCTTGTCACCCAGACCAACTCAGTGCCTTTCTTGGCTGCCAGGAGCACCGCTTTTGGTCCTGGCCCCGCCCTCACCTCCCTCTACTTCCCTGGTCCTGCAACACCCACCAGCCTCTTTCTGGGGCTCCAAGGCTTACCTT